CATAAATTAACCCCCAATGAGCAAATATAAAGTTAAAACATTAGATTCATAATTTAGCGATATATGACATAGTGGTCCGACCCGTGATACCTCGCCTCCGGTCTCTAGTGTCAAACACGAAATCGTTTTTGTGCGTATCTCTAGCATCTTCTCTTGGTTATACAATCAAAGTTTTAGGAAAAATTAAAACATTAAATGCTGCATTAAGAGAATTGATCGAGGATATTCACTTCTGCAATTCTGCCTTCTTCGCTCATCCACCCACTCCCAATTATTTTCTCCTAAATCTGGCTTCTTCTGCTACTGTTTTTCTGATTGAATTTTTCATGATTTACTATTTTCTCCATAGTTTGCATTATTTCCCAATCATAAAAGCATGAAAGAAGAAAATATGTTGAAAAATCAAAACAGAAGCTGTAGCAAATTAAACAGAAATGCAAAAGTAATAGTGTCAGCAAGCACATGTTAAGAGCTATACAGAAAAGAAAAGGTTATTAACGTTTGTGAAAGTATATATCAAAGGAGGAGGAAGAAGACGATTAAAGCGGCATGTGTTACCTGTTTATGGCACAGAAAACACACATCTCTATCCCAATCTTAGCTTGATTCAATCATTTTAGCTAAGTTTCAATTAATTGTTTCGATGAAGTTTACTCTAGATCTTTTTAGCATTTAAAGATGTTTAAATATAGACTCTATCTATTATTAACATTTGAAAATAACATGAAAGAGTAAAGGATGACATGTAAATAATTGGTAAGGTTATCAAGCCACGTGGCGACACAATCCTAAATGTCATGTCATGTGGCAAGCACAAAGCTAAAAAGAAGTGCCACGCGATGAGCACATGAGTGAACGATCTCCCAACTCTGATTTTAATTATATATAATAAGTACAACCCTACTATGATAACTTGTTTGGTAACACTTAGGGTGCGCATGATAATGTTTCTATGCCGGGAAACTATTTCTACTCAGAAATGATTCTTTTTTATTCTGTGCCCGGAAACAATTTCTAAGCATTTGAAGGCGTTTGGTAACTGTCCAAAATTTTTATTCCTGGGATAGAAAAGAACAGAAATACGTTTGGTAACTACACAAAATTTCTTTTTATTAATAATATTTTAATAATATTTTAAATTGTTTAATATTTTTTTTCTTTCTATCCTTCCTTCTTTGGCCATGGCCGGTCGCCGGCGCCGGCGACCGGCCACAGGCCAGGGCGTCGCGGCCCTCGCCGCCGCCTGCTCTCGCCGCCGGCCTCGAGGTCGGCCTCGCCCGAGTCCGGCAAGGCCGAGCCTCGCCGTCGCGACCCACGGCGAGGTCGGCCGCCGCCGTGGGTCGCGACTGGTGAGGCTAGGCCTCGCGCAGATCTGGGCGAGGCCGACCTCGCCGTCACGACCCACGGCGAGGCTCGGCCTCGCCCGATCTGGACGAGGCCGACCTCGCCATGACCGACGGCGAGCCGCCTCGCCCTCGCCGGCAAGGGGGACCCTCGCCTCCGCCGGCGGCCGGCGAGGGCCGTGACGCCCTCGCCGGCCACAGCCCAAGAAGAGCAACACAAAAAGAAGAAAACAAAAAAAAGAAAAAGAAGAAAAAAACTGATTCTCAAAATTGTGCCGAGAAACAAGAAGCAACTTTTTTTTACTTCTTGTTTCTCTTCCAAAACTATTTCTGGGCACAAATTTTTGCAAAAATGTGCCTGGGAACAAAAAGTTTACCAAACGCATTTCTGTTCCCAAACTATTTCTGGGAACAAAACAATAGAAATTTTTACTGTTTGGCACGTTACCAAACGTGCCCTTAACACCAATTTCAAAGGAGATAAGACCGAAACTATTTTTTTTTTGTGGAATGTTTATGTCTACTTTTTATTCTTTATTATCATTTGAGTCACCCAAAAAAAAAAAACAGAGCGCGTAAAGGCTAAAGCCCATCACCCTAACAGTTGACCATCTAATTAATGGAATCCAAAGTTTGGAGAGATCAGTCAAGGCAACTCAAAGAAACCTGGATTACTATGTTAAACTCCAGAAGCAAGTTACTAATCAACCATTACTGAATCTCGCATCGTGATGTTTAGTTAAGGCTATGCTTAGGTTTCATCAACACCACCAACGCATGGAGACACCAAAAACAAGTTGAGCATGCTCAAAGATTTAGATTTAGATGGGGAAAGGTTTTTTTTTTTTGTCGAAAGAATGATGACATTTCATAAATCAGAATTGATCTTCGATGCATGTGCAAATATTTCTACTTTGTTATCACCTCATACAATATAAAACTAATATTTAGTTAAACAGAAATACTTCGATGCTATTATCAAATGTCTTCATATAGTGAAATTTTCTTTCTTGAAATTGAAAAAGTTAAAATTTTAGTACGAAGAACCTTTTCACCGTCAAATAAGAATGCATTTGAGGTTATGTGTTTTATTGTCCCAACTTCAATGACATATAATTTCAACAAGATATTGCTTCTTTGAAGAAAGACAATGATGTTGAATAATATACTAGCTGAAAAGTGTGTCACATAGAATATTTAGATTTCTCTGTGTCATCATGCAATTGCAATTGGCATGCCAGAATGGAATAGAGTCATGGGATGAAATGCAGAAGGACTGGAGTGATGATAATGTCTTTTGTGTGGTGAATTATGGAAATGGCATAGAAATTCTTGTTTTTTGTTGTAGAGATAATTTCTGATGCAAAACAACCCGTTTTATCACAAATATATTGTAAATTCGAAAGGGACATGAGCTAACGCGAATACATAAGTCTCATAGTGTTTTTCAATGACATGCTTTACCAGATTACAAAACTCGATGATGATACATGGATACGAATTGTTGATCCTAACTAGTTTTAAGAAAAAAATTTGTGGGAATAAAATTAAATGAGAATTTATTAATAACTTTAGTCCACATTGTACTTGTTTTAGTACAATTTTACTAGATTTATTCTCTCTTTTTTTATAATTGAATGGCGTGTTGATATTGATATTTCTTAAATATAATCTTGAATTATCATATGGTTCACTGATTTGAATTTATTAGCTATAATACAAAATTATTAATCATTATTTATCTCAAATAGTGTAATAATCAATATTTCTCGATTTTTATTTAACAAATGACTTATTCAGTACTAATCATGTATTTTTATAATGGAAAAATTGTACTAGAAGTCCCAAAACTTGTCACGAAAGTACAATTGAGTCTTAAAACTTGTAAAAAGTGCAATCAAGTCCTAAAATTTGTCAAATTGATGTAATTGGGTCTTTCCGTTAATTCTGTTAAACTTGGCTAAAGGAAAATACTGATGTGTCTTTTTTTTTAAAATATTTCTCCCATGTATGTGGCAATGACGTGGAAAACGATGTCATTTTGATCCAAATATGCTTTTTAATACAAAATTTATATAAATTACATTTAAAAAAAGATAAATCTAAATTAAGAAACCTCACCATCGTCGAGAAGGGCCGGCGAGAATGGGGGATGGCTGGCAAGGGGTCGCCAAGCCCCGACTAGTGGCGAGTGAACTTGATTCCACTTTTTGTAAGTTTTATAATTTAATTGTATTTTCGTAACAAGTTTTAGGATCCAATTTATTATTTATAATTTATCGACTATTATTTTAGCGTATCAATTAATCATCATTGAGCGTGCTAATATTATTTACATTGATAAGTGGAGGAATTATAATAATTCCATATAATTGAAAGGAAGACATGTCAGCCCAACCAGCCAGCCCAACCAGCTTAGCCACGAGGAAGCCCGCGCAATAACCTTCTCCTCCAACCCAAAACCCCCAGGCCTCAACAGTCCAATCGGCAACACCGAAGACCACCGCGCTCACCTCCCGCCACCAACGGCGATCTTCTCCGGCACGTCCAACGCCACCAAGTTTTGCAGAATAGAGATATAGTCTTTGGGTTTTGTGAAGGTGGGTCTTGCTTTGTTTGGTTGGAGCTTTTCAGCGCTGACGAGTAGTTGAATCGGATGATTCTTCGAATTATTTTCATCGTTCCTGTAATTGCATGCATTTCTCAGTTGGTGGATTACCTCGCGTCTTTCAGTTCAATGCCTTCGTTTCTTTCGTTCCTCTGATATTCCACACTGCTTGTACTTTTGCCAACTCTGCAATTCACGAGGGAATTGTAATTGCAGAGCAGAGTAGAGAATTAGGCGCTCTGCGACAATGGACAGCACGGTACATTCCTTGAGCAATGCGTACCGGTATTTCCTCGCGGCTGCGTCGAGTGTTCTTGTGACCGGAAGCATCCGGGCTCCAGGAAATAGCCGCTGACGCTGCCCTGGAGAGCTCCAAGCAGCACTGGGAGTTGTTCCGGGTGGCATGCGATCACGCGGAGGAGTTCGTGCAGTCGGTCAAGCAGAGGATCGGTTTGGAGTGCCTGGTAAATGAGGCCACTGGCTCTGCGGCAGGGAAGCCTTGGCAGGCTGCCTGCTCCAGGAAGCCTTGGAGCAATTATCTGTTCTCGCCAGCTTGCCACAGCCATATTACCTTTGATTTTTGTTCTTTTCTATTTCGGGATGAGAACAGAGGTATTACCTTTTATTTTTCTTCTCATCTATTTTTGGGACAAGAGTTGCCTATAATCTCTTTGCAAATGCCACGCATTCACTGATCTTTTGAGCTAAAAAAAGGAAAGAAACTAATCTCCAACAGGTGACAAATGCACCTTTTGAGCCAAGGGCTTCATCCCTTCTATTCTGCGTACGACAATGGTGGTTCCATACCCTTCTCCTTTTGAAGCATAGCACGACAACACCCTGTTTCGGGGCTTCTTCATTTTTTGCAAAGTCACCATTTACGATTGTCTCAAAACATTTTCAAGCACACTTGATTCCGACAAATATAGCCTACCAATCTTCAGCTTCTTCTGGTTGAACAAGAACATTATTAGAAGTCAAGGAGCATTTTAGCCGATTTCTCTCCTCGAACTGTAATCCTAGAATTAGTTAAATTTGGTTCGGGCGACATGGCGTCTTCTGATGACGAGGCTGCGACCTTGCTGGAAACGGTCTCCACTTACTACTTCAAGGACCACGACAACAAGCTGGTGTCATTCTCCGTCCTGCCGGTGAGGTGGACCGACCAGGAAGACAACGAGGATGCGGTGGCAGAGACCATCTTCTTGCACGGGACTGCCGATAACGGCCTCAGGAAGATTTACAGAGAGGTCAAGTCTTGGAGGTTTGATCTCAGCTGCTCGAGGCCTGAAGTGTCGGTGCTCTCCAAGGACAACATCTGTTATAAGCTCGATAAGCCAAGGAGGAGCTTTCATGATACGATCAGGTCCGTGTTGATCATGTTGCACTGCCTGCACTACGCCAAGAATCACCCGGACGCATCTGGAGAAGCACTGTGGAAGCACTTGGCTAGAACCTTGGGGTACCTTACTGTTTGACCATCTTCACGTGTTATGGTGCATGTGTGATTTTGCCCTTTCTCAATCTGGTTTATAGGTTCTATGAGGTCCAGCCTTCTGCAAAAGATTTGCAGGACCATGTGGCGTTAATTGAAGAGGCTATAGGGAGGGAAGATGCATTGGCAAAATCCAAGGTTGTTCTTGTTCCTGTTATTCCTTTTAGATTCACGACCCTGTTCTTGGGTGTTCATTTATAGAAATTAACAGAACGACAAAATATATATAAGGAAAATTATTCTTGTTGATGTTTTTGGGGTCAGATTGCCATTATTCATTTGGATGTTCATTAATTGCCGGAAACAAAGTTCATGCAGGTTCTGTGCAAATTAATGGAAGAGAAGCCCTGGGAGAGGAGTAAATCTGGCAAGGTTAGGTCCTATGCTTTTTCTTTATCTTATTATCTCTTCTCCGTAATTTCTGCCCTTTTCCTTTTATTTGTTTCTCTGAGGAAGGTTTTCTTAGGATCTTTTAGAATGTTGCAAAGCCTAGTTCTATGGTGGATGATGCTGAAGATGTCGGGATGGAAGATTTTGAAGATGGAACCGCCAAGGAGGATGATTGAAACAATGCTTTGCGGCTGCACCCATGTTTTTCTCTTTAAGTGTAAAGAATAGCTAGGCTTTTAAGTTATCAAAAGCATTGGTTCTATTTGTGGCCTAATGTGAGCTCAAACCGTAGATTAAGCTTCTTACCTTTGATCTGGTCCTTTATTTTCTAGCATTACTTGCATCGGTTATTTGTTTTGACCATTCTTCTTTATTTTTTTTTACTTTATTTATTTATCTATTAATTTTTTGTAATCAGCTGTTTCTTTATCTTTTATAACCATTGGAGGTTCATGCATGATTTATCTCCTTTTTTTGCTGATACTCGAGAGAAGAAAAATACGTTAGCTCACTCACATGGCCCACTCTCTAAATTTGTTGCCCTTGTTATGCTTCTTATCGAATGTTTTACATCCTGTTGCAATTTTTTTGTTGATGAACAATCTTTCATATGCTGATTTGATTGGCTGCAGGACAAGCTTAGAGTATATCTTGCACCATTTGTATATGGTATGCACTACATTTCCTTTGGTCGACATTTTACGAAAGTGGATAAACTTCAAGAGGTGATTGTTCTATGAATCTGAAGCCTTTTTATCTTTGAGTTGGAAATTTTAGTTGGTTTTATGTGCAGATGTAGTGCTTCCTTCACTTGCTTTTTTGGCAAATTGTTACACACCAGAATGAAATATATAAGTAACGATAAATAAATTGATCTTCTGTTATGAAATTTAAAGATCTGTGGACCCCCTTTCATTTGATAGGGAAAATAGTACTTACAACATAGAAGGAACCAAATTTTCGCCAGCCCATTCACAAAGTAACACTTCTATGAAATTCTATGGAAGTCAACGACTTGCAAATTGTTGCTCTATTTATGCTCGCAGAAAGCTATTCTGGAATCTCCTAATTTACATATATCTGTTGCCTTTTCTAGGAAATTCTTCTGATTTTTTTGTCGAATACAACTTCTTGAAACAAGAAAATGTTGGACATATGGATTTCATCTATCACTAGTCTCTCTATACTATACTTGTGCCCCTTATACCTCATTACAGGTCAGATTTTCTTAATTAAGAAAAGAATATGGATGTTTCCATTTCCTTAGCTTCCTTACTCGGCTTTTTAGTGAGGCTAGCATCTTACACATTTATAGGACACTTGGTCAGCCCACTAGGTTTCAGTCAGTTTCTTTGTAATAATGAGTTAATCAGTCCCTTCATCTGATTGCTTTTGTTTACGTTGAATCTCTATTTTGAGGTATACATGCTACCATCTAATCTGATCTTTATAGAGGGTTTTGTAACCAATGAAATTGAACAACAAAATTCTATGAGAAAATATTGAAGCTGTCAGTTATATTGATGAGACAAGTACCTCCAAGATTTCTCTGTCTCCCATTGACAAATAAAAATTGCACATAAGCATTTGTTGAATTATTTGAACTGGTGACAGTTTTGTATTTGGTGAATAATGTGCATATATATTGTGGGTTTGTTCGTCGATAGGCATTTGGTATAAAGAAATGATGTGTCTTGATAGAAGCTCGTGTCTCATATTTCTGTATGATTATATGGGTGAAGTGCACATTTTAATGATACATCCTTGGACGCAGATTGTTGACAAGCTCCATTGGTATGTTCGGGATGGTGACATGGTAAGTAACGTAACGCTTAGTAGTTTATTTCCACTCTTGATGCTTGAGAATTTTAAATGTAGAAGATCATGCCGATCTATGTGTGATTGGCAATATGATTGGTGAGGTTCCTTCTGAGGATTGAAATTCTGAATTTCTTCGCTTGAGCTTATATTTCTTCAAATGAATCTGACAATCATCACATACCATCGTGTGAATATTTAATCTTTCACAGTGTGTCATAAAAAAGAAATCTGCTTCTTACACTTTTCCCCCTTATATGGCTCTGTTCGTATGACGTTTTGATGTCACTCATCCAACTCATAAAAATTGCATTAACAGATTGTCGACTTCTGTTGTGGGGCTAATGATTTTAGCTGCTTAATGGCAAAGAAGCTTGAAGAGACCGGAAAGAGGTGCTCTTACAAAAATTACAATATTTTTCCACCAAAGGTAATTTGCGCGTGCTACCTCGTCTCATGAAGTTTTATGTGTGAAGAATGTTTTGGTTGTCTTTGCAGACGGTTCTGCAGCATGGCTATTTCATTTTTTTTTTGGGGAATTTTTTTAAGGATGGTTTTTTTTTTACTATTGTTAGTAAGCTTGTGTCTAGTGGTTGTTCACTTGTTTCACTAGAGGAGGTTGAGGGACGTAGAGCCTTTCTTTGTTCCTGTTCCTGGGTAGTATAGAAGAGACAATTCCTTAGATTGTGGAATGGAAATTTAGGGTTGACATAGTTATTCAGTATAGTATCCGAGGTTAGATTAGGCTGGCTATGAAATAATTGTACCGTCCCAACCAGCTACTTGTACAAGTCAGCATGTAATTTGTTCCAATAAACAGTACTTTCATTCATGATCACTTACAATATGTGCTTGTAATACAACAGAGTCAAACAGTGTGATTGTGTAACTCATGCAAGTTTCTTTTTTCTTTTTATTTCCTAATGGTTTAGAAAGTTCAAATCAGGTTTATAATCCTATAATATATGGTTCTAGGATATGCTAACAGTCTTTGGAGGAGCTACAGAACAAACAACACCTGCAAATCTGTGGCTGGTTATGTTTGAGAAGTGGTCAAAGAGGTTTCGGAGGAAGCTTCTAAGGAGCCTGGGTAGACACAGAATGAGATACAGAAAATTTAGGAAAAAATTTAGGGCCTGCCTTTTAGTCTCCAGAAATCACAGATCCATACCATAAAACTTCCAAGACTCTGAAATTTTCTGATCCCCAATATCTATAAGGTGGCAAGTGGAGAACATAATCATGTAACCAGTTCACCTTATCAAGCTAACCGTGCAACTCTAAATATCTAAGGTCATCATACCTTGAGGAAGAGAGGGAAAATGTTTAGAAAGACATATGAGATGTGTATGCTATAGAGATTATCCTAACTTGGTCTTATTCCACAACTGAAGGATGATACCCTTATATAGGTCCAAGGGTATTACAGACCTGTAACAACACGACTATAGACTCAAGCAGTATGCATCTTTATTGGATGCTCTTACAAAGCACAATGACACATACTTTGGCCAAAGTTGGCGCACTTATTCTAGCAGCACAATAATTCACAACGAGAGGTCTGGAAAATCACTGTCAGCCTAGAGGACATCTTCAGGATTGTCTTCATCAGCATACCTCCAGCGTTTCCATCGTTTCAGGTCTAAAGTAAGCTGTAGATGCTTTGTTGTTGCTAGTGTTGGCATCAAATTCTCTTTGAGGAGCATTGGATTCCCTATGAGGAATTGTCAGTTGTGGCTAGTTGGCTATACTCTGGAGATCGGAGGGGGGACCGTAATTCCATGGCTCTTGAGAAAGTGGTTCACTCCATGGATCTGGGAACACGACTGTTGTTGATGAGGCAGCAGAGGTTGAGGTGGTTATACAGGGTTATTTGCATAGAAGTCTGATATGGCTTGTCTGATAGCATCTCTAGTTGGTTCATATGCCTGCCTATAATCCCATGGTACTTCATTCTGGAATGCATTAGGCCAGATTTCTTTAGGAACAGTGTGCTTCCTTTCGCATAATATCATCTGTATTTCTCTGTATTCAGAGTCGATATCCGCAATGCTGCATCCATATGACCTGTACACCATCGCAGAGGAGGATGAAGTGTTGAGGTACTCGAGCTTCAGAGTGCTAGAGCAATGAATGAAAATTATCTCCATGACCTGCTTAATCGGGAATTTTGATTCAGGAGGGCTCCTGTAGCCTACCTACATGAGTTGTTATATCATTCTTTTCAAGTTATATTTTTAAGTGTGGAGTAGACAGACTGTCAATTTTCTGTGGAAGGAAGTTAGTACCAAAATTTGGTAAGAAATTGCTGGATCGTGGTTTGAAGTGCAGTTGTAAGCTTAGCCATCCTGTTAACTATGAAATATGGAGGAGGAATAGGCTGTCCATAACCATGAAGGAGGACATGAGTAAGTTGTAGTGAGTCGGCCACAGTTACCTGCTTTCTCAGCCTTGTCCCCATCGCTCCCACTTTGGTCTCACCACTTGGTTATGCTGGACTTTGAAGTCTGAAGTAATGACAATTTTGCAGGATGTTGTTGCTTTTGAAGCTTGTATAAGAAACTTGAGCATGCCAACAGAATTTGAGCACCTTTACTAGTGACCCATGCACTCGGTGTGCGTGCGCCTTTCTCGCATGTGTTTACATCGAGGCACACACGACTGTCAAAAAGTTTGATGATATGGAACTTTAAGTCTGTGTCTGTTAAATGCAATTTGCCAGTGGTTTAGAAAATAGGTTTATTTTTCATGTTCCTCATTTGTTTTTGCGCTTGCAATTTATTAGCGATTCTTTTTTATGCCTATAGGTTGAAATAGGGAGTTTCTGTTAGGGTCTTTCCAGGCTGTGGCCTCTGGTAACCCATTTTTTATGCTTTAGCATTTGCTTTGAGTTAGTTTAGTTTTCAATGAATGCCATGAAGAAGAATAAAGGTGGACTTAGCATCTGCTGGTAATGCTGGTGTTGCTATAATCTCTGTGAAATGTGCTTGGTAATTGAACCTGGAATTGCCTTCGTGTAAGCCTGGTTTTATATAGTTTCTCCTCCTTGTGATTGCAGAATTACTTCGAGTTTGAACTAAGGGACTGGATGACTGTCCAACTAAAAGAGCTACCTCATGGGTCGAATTTGGTAAGTGGAGAGTTTTGCTTTGCCTTTCTGCATTTTGGTTGGGTGTATTGGCCCTTTCGCTCCCCTCTCCCTCCCTCTCTCTCTGAATATATCCATGCCTTATTGAATGTTTTATCATTCTATTATGTTGCTTCCTGAGTAGATCATGGGGCTAAATCCTCCTTTCGGAGTTAGAGCAGCTTTGGCGAACAAGTTTATTGATAAAGCTCTTGAATTCAAACCAAAGCTCCTTATTCTGATTGTGCCATCTGAAACTGAAAGGTAACTACTTTACTTTGAGCCCTCTCCTTTTCCTTTGGAAATACTTAAATCTAGTGGTGCGTTGCAGATTAGATGAGAAAATGTTTCGGTATGATCTGGTGTGGGAAGACCATCGATTCTTGTCCGGAAAGGTGAAATGGTACATCCTGTTCATCCTTCTGATCATATGTTTGCATCTGATGGCTTAACTGTAACCCTTTCATTTTCAGTCATTTTACTTGCCAGGGTCCATTGACGTCGAGGATAAACAAATTGAACAGTGGAACAACAAGCCACCGTTGCTATATCTATGGAGCCGTCGAGATTGGACTGCAAAACACAGGACCATAGCCCAAAAGCAGGGTCACTTGCCAACGAAGAGAAAGAGGCCACTGTCAAGTGATGATCGCAATGGATCACTGGATCTTCGTTATCCGAAAGATGACCGGAGCTTTTGCGTCGATACTTCGTCACTCACAAGTGATACCTCCATGCCAATGGGCAGGCCTGAAGAAACCAAAGACAGAGTCGATACAGCTGAAGGTCAAAAACGGTGTTTTTCTCGAAATGACAGTGGAAGAGAAAGCAGGGAGAGCCAGGCTACTGGGACTTCTACGGGGAAGGCCAATGGTATAGGAACGAGTGGAAGAGAAATTTATGAGAAGTCACCTGCAAAGGAAACACCTCATCGTCCCTCGCTTAAGTTGGCAGACGGGAAGTCGTCATTCGACGATCGGTCCTCTAAGCAAAAGGCCGATGCTAGCGGAACACGCAGAAGAGAGATTGGTGAGAAGGATCTACCTCGTTGTCCCTCGCCCAATTGGACGAATGGGGAGTCTTCGTTCAATGATTGGTCCACTAGGGGAAAGGCAGGTGGTAGAGGAATACGCGGAAGAGAAATTGATGAGGAGCCGCCGGCGAAGGTAACCTCTCGTCTTCCCTCACCCAAGTCGTCTGTCAATGATCGATCCTCAAGATCACGTGAAGTTCTCTTTGAGAAGGATGCCCGCGGCAGCATGAATTATCAACACGCTGGGTTGAGCATGTCTATGTCACATGCTGAGAACTTTTATGGTGGGCAAGGATCCACTCTCTCTGATGATGCCAGCAGGATGTATGGACTGAACAACAATGAACATTATTCAACTCAGAGATGGTCAAGTGGTGGTGGCCCTCTTACCATTCATGGGGTACGAAACTTGGAGCGACCGCATATAGCTCATATGAGGGACACTGATGATTGCAGACTCAATGTCGCTGAACCCTACTGGAGGGACCTAGAGATGCGTTTGCTGGTCCGTCTGTATGGTCAGCAAGATCCAAATGTATCTCAAAGAAATTACATGGCAAGTCATGATCCCGGGTATGACCAGCCAGGGCCCCTGACATCTACCTATGGACTCCCGGGTTCCATTGCCGAATCATCCCAGCAAGCGAACATGTCAGCGATGGAACGATATGCTCCCCATTTGGATGAACAGAATCCGACGAGAACGAACAATGCGAGGCCCGAGGGAACCGTGATTCGTGGAAATAGGTTTCTTGATCCTAACGGGGGACCGCAATTTGGATACCAATGCGATTCTTTTGGCTTTGCTACCGGTCCTCATTGGCCATACTCTCAACAGAATACTTCTGGCTGGCTTGATGAATAGGTGCTTGGATGTTACTTCCCGTTTTTCCTCTTTCTACATGTTTTGAAGATGTTTCAGATTGTTAATTCGTATTCTCAACCACGATCTATGTAATTTTAGTTCGGAGAAGAGGTCGAGTTTTTACAGCACGGTTCTGATATTTCACTTTCTACTTGAAATTTGCGGATGCCTTTCTTAATCGGGAGTGCAGCGTGTCAGGTTGAGTTTTTCAATTGTCAGAGGTTATAATTTCTCTTAAGTTAATTTAATTTTCTTTTTGCGCTACTAGATTGAGTTATTACTATGTCAAATTAAAAAGCCAATAGCATGAGTAGCATGGTGTTGGACGAGTTACGGTCTTGGACGTGGATGCACTTCGTGCGTGGGTTGGTCATTGGGGTGCACATCTACCGTCCTCACTAGTGTACCCTTTTCGCGGGATTTTACTACGTGTCCGACCTATTTTAAATTCTGTCGCAATCGATTATTTCCCCACAAAATAGTGTAGGGAAAAATCAATTCTCCCCCAATTCCTCCACCCCCCCGCCGCACCTGTCTGCCCAAAGTCCAGCTCCACCACCCCTTTGACCACTGTAGTTGCCGCCGCAGCAAGCGTCACGTCGGTGACATGGTTTTGCCTGGATCTATTGTTCTTAGGCTTGATTGAAAACACATTCTCCTATGTCCGTCTCCTCTATGGTTGTCGTGCTCGACATTGCTGGTGTCGAGCTTGTCGCCATCGACGGTGACCAGCCTTCAGATTTGCCGATCACATCTCCAGATCTGGAGGCCCCTTCATCACCATGATGACAGAGATCTGGAGGTTAAGAGAAATCGAACATGTGGCATGGTATTGTGAGCAAGAAAGCAGGCGGATCCATTGAATGAGAAGGCGAATCTACACCCTGATCAATAAAATTGGCTCTAGTTGCTTAATTTAACTTCTTCAACTTCAAGATTATTCAGTCCAAGTCCAACGGTGGATCCAATTATTAGCAACTCGCTTTCTCTTTGACTTCATTAGCTCATTTGTGCATAGTTGTATTTGCTTTTAGGATTATTCTATGGTAAAGACGTACTTATCTCAATTATATGACGAGGTTCTATGTTTGACAAGTTACCATTGGATTGATAAAGAGTCAAGAGAGGTAATTATGTCGATCAGATAAGTAATGCAATCGGGCTGACAACATAAGCTCGGAAAAATTTATGCAAACACAGATTAGCGGGAAAATTGTCCTAAAAATCCCAGACTTAGGCTCTGTTCGTTTTGCAGAAAATGTAACGTTTCTGGAAAATATTTTTCAAAAAGTCAACAATATTTTTCGGTGTTCGACTGAGACCTGAAAATGAACTGGACAATATTTTCCACTGTTCAGCATTAGATTTGACTTTCTAGGGAAAATTACCAAAAATTTTGAATTTTTAAATATTTTTACTTTTTCTTTTTGTTTTTCTTTTTTTTTCTTTTTCTTTGTCTTCTTTATTTGGCCAGTCGCTGGCCACGACAACGGATGATGACTGGCCATAGGCATGCTCGAGCCTCGCCAGACATCTATGGAAAATGTTTTCTGCTTTTTTACCATACGCCAAATATTTTCTTCACTTTTAAAGGTGTTTTTTCCATTGGTGGAAAATGTTATCGCGACTGACCTCCATTAATTTTGGGCCAAAAAAAAATTAAAAATAGGTGTCAACAAATGTTTTCTATAACTAGTTTATTTTTCATAAAACGAACGCCGGAAAATCTAGGAAATGTTTTTCTAGAAGTTATTTTCTTTAAAACGAACTGAGCTTAAGTCCACTTAGAAACCATACAGCCCTTCTTGCACAGGAGGTTTACTCCAACAATCCCCCAATCTGATCTTACATATTTGGATCAGGAAAATGCATATATATTTCGTATAGGAAGGAATAAGGCGCTCGTGACGTGCCCAATGACCCCGCTTGGAGAAACTAGCTTTTCAGAGCACGCAAAGAAAAGTTGAAGCCAACATTGATTTTATTGTACTGTACTAAAAACACTCGATAATCACAAGCATAGTCACTCGTGTACCGTACCGTTGCTGCCTTATTTTTCAAAACAATGTTAAGATGACACCTTAACCTTGGCTATGATTGAACCAACGAGCGACAATAATTTTTCAGCTAATATTTCCCATGAATAAAATGATGACTATGATATTTCTCGATAACAATAATGACTACTACTGCGGATAAAAATATCGATTAATTAAACAAAATATGGTTGGCCCTACTTATGTCACTCGTATTGATGAAGACTGTCGATGGAACAAAATCCCTCAAAACATATTTATTTAGTAAATAGGCAAATTGTATCTCTTTTTCTTTTTTCGTCATGATGATTAGCAGAAGAGGTATATCTGCAAGCCCTCCCGCTAGAGATGCGCAGCTTCATAAAACCCCATCCGTTAGCCTAAGAGACATGCCTCATGAAAAACGCAGCTGGTTGAGTTATATACAAGGGAAAGAGTCTAATTTTCCTTCAAAGGTGTGGTCCTCTAGTTGGTCTCCTTTGTTCATTCGATCTTTTAGGTTTTTGCCAATCAAATCCTCAAACTCATTCATTTTGTGTTTTTGGCAGTAGCATTTATGTTCTTACTAATCCTCAAACTATAATAATGTTACCGCAAAAGGCAAGAGAAAAAACATTGAAGACACGGATAAGTTAAATACCTAAAACTAGACAAACAAATCATGTAGTGATATGTAAAAGTGTCATCCCCTCAATACCTGTTGTATCCACTGTTAATGACCATTTCAAGGTGCATCAATGATGTTTTGTCATGTCCCTTTGAAGGCAACATCAACGATGTTTTTGTTGTATCAGATTCATTCCTTACCAGTGCAAACGGCCTATCAACATAGGATGGTTACATGAGAACTACGAAAAACGGATTCGTGGCGTCGAAATAATCAAACCTCGATAGCACTTTGACCTCTTTTGCTACTTTGAACTGTCGAGTACTTTTATGAGACACCGATTTTAGGCAACTCTTACTGTCGGGGATGCGTCCATCACTGTGTTCATCTGCAACAAAAGTACGTCATTGTATGTTAAATTAAATAGGAAATATACACACATGAAATGACTTTTTACTTAAATAAAACAATAGCAGATTCTACGTAATTACTAGATCCACAGTGTTCAATAGGCTTCTAGCGTGGTTTTTTATTTTTCATCTTTTGACTTTTTCTTCAACTTCTAAATTTTGAAATTAGATCATTTTTCCCCTGCAATACCTATAGGTTCTTCTTCGAATGAACTTTCAGTCCATCCTTGAGATCCACCCTAGCTGCTCGTTTCCAAGGATGGTTCATTCAAATAGTCACTATCATCAGCTGGTAAATTTGTCTTTCTTTGGAGATCGAACTTGTTTTTATGATGACAATTCTCTCCTTTTACATCTGCACGAGTGAAAATCATCGTCCAATATTTCAATTGACGTGTCCTCAATCTCTTCCACTTTTTTCGGCAACAAATGCTCGTCACCAAGCTTGGATTTTTCAATCACAATGCACCCACCGTTACTCTCCAATAAAAATGTATCACTTAATTCACCACAACACGGTGTTGCTATCCAGATGTCTGATTATGTAATGAGAGTCAAACCAAAGCATACGAAAATGAAGTCTCCAAAGAGACTTGTTGTTTATGCTAAAAGCAACCCACCACAAGAACCAAAAAACAGGCCACAATTGCCAAAAGGAAACAGTAAAACAGGTCCATATACAGAAAAGAAGACAGCCAATCTGCAGTCATGGCAGCTAGGGTTATGCTCACCCGTGTACAACTTGGAGTGACATCACCAAAACAGCCAACTGTTCCCATGGAACTGGCAAAAGATTCCTTTTTATTTTATTTTATTTGGGTCACAAAAAGATTGGTCATGTAACCAAAAAAGGAACTGCTAATTCTTAGAGTTGATTTTAACCGGCATTGATTTTGATACCTATGGATACAGAGAGAAGTCTCTGTTCGGGTCAAGAACTTGAAACCGTAGCAGGAAAAGTAATTTCAAAAAGAAATTGCATAAGAAACGGTATGAATCGAAGGCTCACAAGCTTTCCACCTTTAATGGTGTCGGAGAGAACAGTCGTGAAGAAGTGAGGAGTCTTGGCCTCAAAAAGTTGACCATCATCTTCGGCATAAAGAGAACCAGGGTATTGCTGGGCTTCCGGCACATGTTCCCCATATGCTTGCCTTCAAGTTGCAATTTTGGCGGCCTAATCTTGAGTGACCAGCCAACTTAACAATCTAAGCAGACTATAACACTGCCTCCAAGACATGGACCAGTTGCTAATCTATTCAAATTTTGTGAAGGATCCTCTCTCACTAGCTGTATGAATAATAGTATATTTCACATGCAGCTTCCAACTAGGCATCTGTATGAAGTAAATAGTCGGTGCAAAGAAAGAAGACGTGTTGATCCTAGGCATGTCAAAGAAGACAGACATCAGAAGACTATTATTATGTTGTGTATGCAAGTGTTCACGTAATGCATGAAGAATAAATAATTCAGAGCATAAACATGTTTTCTCTCCCTGATTGTCAAAAGCAGGGTTAAAGCATGATAAATAACGTCAAAAACCCTTGGTGAAAGAAGAACTCGACAATCACAAACCGATTAGTGTGTCCAAGAAGCTCACCTCATGTACAAACAATCTCCACAAAACTGTCCCTTCACCATGTTACATTGGCTGCATTAAGTACGATAGCCAAGAGTTTTGTGCTTGTTGGAAGCAGCTTTATCTTACGATTAAAAAATATGAGATGAATTATATGTTCAATTTTAATTACCATATAAGAGATTGATATGACGAAAGGCCTCTTATAGTAGGGTACCTCATACTAATTAAAACAATTATTTATATCTAGCAGAATTTGACTTGTTTATTAAAAAACTTATCATTTTCTTGAATGATAATAAGTGAAACTAAATTGTTTGCAAGTTCCTGTTGCTATATACAAAGAGAGAGGAAATCTTCCATTAGCACATTTATTCAGAATCAACTATCAAGTGATTGAATGTTACTCAAGAGCTTAGCCCTCTTAGAAGTGATCATTATG